AGTTGGGGGGAAATAGGGGAGGGATGGTGGGGAGTGGGGAGCTGGGGAGAGATAGCAAGGGGAGAAATGCCAGATGTAGGTGATGGGGAGGAAGGCAGCAAATCACACTGCCACATGTGTACCTATGCAACAATCTTGCATGTTCTTCACATGTACCCCAAAACCTAAAATGCAATAAAATAAATAAATGGGAAAAATTTTTTTAAATAATACAGTCTTTGAAACAGTTAAAAAAAAAAAAAAAAAGAAGAAGATGCAACTCTTGTCCAACACTGTGCTGGCCAGAGCGTACCTGGGCCCCCTGTGCCTCATGGCGGGGAGTACATGGCCATTTCCCATAAGCCACATGGGCTGGCTTGGCCAGAGGAAGGAGGGGATGCCAGTGGCCCACTGGCTTTCCAGAGCCCGTAGAAGCTGCTGTCAAGGTCAACAGCTGCTCCCTGCCTGGGAGAGAATGGAGAATCTTACTACAGCTCAGACGCTGTGGATTTGTCATTTGGGGAAATTCATAGGACACCTGAGCATAAGACTACAGAAAAGTGTCGTGGGCTTTTGGGACAGCAGGAAAGCAGCGATAAGAGCCATGCAACAACAATAACAACAGAAATTGTGCCAGCAAAAATTTATTGAGCATCTACTATGCACCCGGCTCTGTGCTAAGCACTTTAGTCTCAGACAACACGAAGAGATGGATGCTGTTCTTTTATCTCCACTACATAGATGAGGGAGCCTGAGGCTAGGAGGGGTCACATGGCTTGCCTGCAGTTGATGGTTCTCAGCAGACTGGGGTTGACGGAAGTTGCCCTGGCTGCGAAACTTGAATGGTTAGTGATAAGGTTGCTTGCCTGCTCTGCTAGGTGGCTGAGCACCTGGTCATTCTGCTTGTTCTCTTCATTCTTGTATTACATCCCGGTCGGGGTTTTTGGGGGATCTCCAAAGCCTGAAGCTGTATCTATTAGGGTGGGACCCTGGGGCTTCGGGTGGTTAACCTCTCCCTGGGGTGGTGCTCTCCACACGGGGAGCTGAGGGCTTTCAGGAAGAGTTTTCTGAAGGAGGAGGACACAGCGTTGTAGAGGAGAGGAGTCACAGCTGAGCTGACGTAGAAAAGTGTGTTGGTCACCATGTAGAAGTAGTGGTAGAAATTGTAGAGTGGGCTGCAAGAGAAACCCAGAAGCCTGGTTAGAGGACCTGTCACCCCCTCCCGGCATCCCCTCGCAGTTTCCTGCCAGAGAATGCCTCTCCTATTTTCTACTATCAGGAAGCACATTGTTTTGTTTTGTTTTGTTTTGAGATGGATTCTTGCTATGTTGCCCAGGCGGGAGTGCAGTGGCGTGGCTCACTGCAACCTCTGCCTTCTGAGCTCAAGTAGTTCTCCTGCCTACAGTCCCAAGTAGCTGGGACTACAGGTGCGCATCACTGTGCCCAGCTAATTTTTGTATTTTTAGTAGATAAAACGGTGTTTCACCATGTTGGCCAGGCTGGTCTCGAACTCCTGACTTCAGTTGATCCACCCACCTCAGCCTCCCAAAGTGCTGGCTCACAGGTGTGAGCCACTGCACCCGGCCAGGAAGCACAAAGTGAATTCCACAAATGTTTCATCACCAGCGGCTGATGTCCTCCACCAGCCTCTATGATCTGCCATTCCTGGCTGTGGTTCCCGGTCACCTCATAGTAAGGTGACATTGCTGACTGACAGGGACCCCCCCAGGTGCCCAGGGTTGCTGCATGTGGTCAGGAGATGTGGCTGCACTAAGAGCCGCAGGTCCTTCTGAGGAGCCACATTCCTTGCGGCAGGTTCTCTGCAGCAGGAAGCACTTGGCAGGAGTTCGTGTTGCCCACGGAGGGTAAGGGGCGCCAGCAGCTCCTGAGGAGGAAGCATATGTCACATGGCTCTTTCTGCGGAGGCTTCCTGGGACCCCTGTTTTGGATGTTTGACTCCCACTTACGATTGGGGCACAGTGATTTCCAAAAGGCAGATTAGGAATTCTCTTGTCTTCTCCAACTGTGTCATAAAAGGGGGTGCATGTCTTGGTCTCTGCTGAGGGGGCTTTTGTTAGCTCATGGAGTCTCAGCTTTGTGTCTTCCTCATACTCTCCTTGTAATAGGAGAGGAAGGAGAGAGAGAGAGGAAGCCTCAGAAGCGTGGCCCATGCTCCCTCTTCCCAGCCTGTAGGCTTCTCTTTCTCCTGTCGTCAGAATCCCCCAGGCCTCTCATGCCCGTGGCCTTACCAGCTCAGGGACAGTGCACTGTTCCCCATCCCTAGCTGGGAGATTTCGAGGAACAGCCTGCTTGGAACCAGGTGGCATGCAGTCCAGAGTTCCAGAGGACCCAGCAATGAAGGGACCCTCTGGAGAGCAATGGAGACACCAGGCCCGGCCCAATGGGCCCCCTCCCTGTGTGCAAGGGCCCTTCTGCCACACTCACTCAGTCCACCCGTCATCAGGGACATAGCAGAACATGAGCCTGCGGGCATGGTACGGCAGCCAGCAGATGACATACACGGCCACGATGGCTCCTGCAGAGCATGGGGGAGGGAGATAGAGCACCAGGAGAAAGCAAACACATTCTTGGTTACGACATTGCCAAAGGAGGATGATGCCCAAGGGACAGCAGCACTTCCCTCTAACTTGGTCCTGGAGTCAAGGGTTGGAAGGAGGCTTTGAGGTTATCTGATATATTCCTACCTGAATCTCTTCTCAAACCTCGCATTATCCTGTCCTCTGGGTAAATGTCCACTCTGACCATGACCTGGACATAGCATGCTTCTAGGACCTCCTCCTGGCTACCAGAATATATTCCCAACTCAGGGCTAGATTACCCTACCTGGTTATCTATCTGTGTGTACAACAGAACTTGTATCTTTCTTGAGCCAGGCATGGTGGCTCATGCTTAGAATCCCAGCACTTTGGGAAGCCAAGGCAGGTGGATCACTCGAGGTCAGGAGTTTGAGACCAGCCTGGCTAACAGGACAAAAATTAGCTGGGCATGGTGGCATGTGCCTGTAATCCCAGCTACTTGGGAGGCTGAGGCAGGAGAATCGCTTGAACCTGGGAGCAGGAGGTTGCAGTGAGCTGAGACCACACCATTGAGCAAGACTTCATCTAGAAAAAAAAAAAAAGATCTTGTGTCTTTCTTGTCTGAAAGCTTCTCGCTCCTTTAGTCCTTTCTCTGGTTAATTTACAGCAGTGCTATTTATCTAGCACTCAAGCCATAAGCAGAGACTCCTATTTTTCTGTTCCTCTCTGTATCCAGTCTATTAGAGTTCCTCCTTGGCATCTCTCCTGTGTGTGTTTTCCCTGTCTCACTGCAACCTCCCTAAGAGGCTCTTACTTCCTCTGTACTGAACTAGGACAAGTCTCCCAACAGCCCACCCCTTCCCTCTCCTGCTTCTGGTCTGCTCCAACTGGCAAAGCTGTCATCTAGGCCAGGGGAGCCCCTGGACCACCGAGCAGTGTCAACATCAGTGAGAAGCCTGTTAGAAGTACAGAATCTTAGGCCCCACGGCTTGCATTTTACAACTCTCCAGATGATTCTTATGCATACTGAAGCTTGAGAGGCACCGTTTACCCCATTCTCCAAAGAGCTGAGTACAATAGGTCTCAAGAGCAAACCTCCACTCATTCGAGGACATCAACTTTTTCAATGACTGACCATTGTCCATCAAATGAAGTCTGACACCTTCATGTTCTGACTTTGTGTTACTTGGCACATTGCACTTAGCTCTTGCATCTCTGTCCATACACAAGACTGGACGTTGATGATAGCAGAGACCCTGTCTTGTACTTGATCCTTCCATACACTAGCTAGTGTCTGGGTTATGGTGGGTGCTTGGAGAGACCTCTGCTTTCCTGTGCCTTTTGCAGTTTCTCTCGTAAGGCCAAATTTTTCCAGATACTTACGAAAACAAGAAAGCAAACAGATCAGTGTGGGAGGAGGGACAGTGGAGTTGGAAGGGAACTGGATTTAGGGACCAAGCCCATCCGAGAGTCCACAATTCGCAGCCGCAGTCTTTAACCATAACTGCTCCTTGTGTTCATCCACACAGCCAGACTTACTGAAAAGTGGTCCCGTCTCTGTTTGCCTGTGTGTGCTACTCCCTGGAGCAGATCGGAGACTTCATGTACAGAATTCCTATTCTTTTCCTTTAAATATCCCACTGAGCCCTACAGGAAGTCTGTTGGTTCCCCTGGGGCATAAGATAAAGGAAGCCTTGAGAGAGGTAGTGATTGGCTGAGGTCACCTGGCCAGGGATTGGTGGAGGCAGCCCTGGAACTTGAGCCCCTTTCTCCTGGGATGATGTTACAGAGGACTTAACTGAGAACCTGGACGCTGCGCTGGAGGCTGCGGATCCGACTCACGTCTTTGTGTCTCACCAGGCTGACCTGGCCCCCCTGGAAAAAGGTCTTCTTCCATACGATGAAGCTGAGGAGACCGTCCTCACTCAGCAGCTCCAGGCGACTGGGGGTGGAGCTACCCAGGGCAGAGGTGGACGGCACTTGGGAGCAGAGGGCCAGCAGGTGGTTCACTGTGACCCCGTTCAGGAAAGCAGTTAGTGCCAAGGGGAGCACGAAGGACACCAGCACATTCACCTGTGGAAGTAATGCCAAGGGCCGTGGGGCAGTGGCAAGGCCCTGAGACCCTTGCCATCAGACTGTGCCCCAGGCCCCAAATCTGCATCAGCAGAAGGGGCGACGGAAGGGTTAGAAGGTTGAGAAAATTTCCAAAAAGTGAGAAGAGAGAAAAGAAAATTTGGGATTAGTTTAGGATGTTCATAATAGGAGTTCCAGAAAGAAAAAAAAAAGAAAAAACAGAGGGGAGTAATTTTATTTAGAAATGCACTCAAGAAAGTTTTTCCAAAGTTGAGGAGTCTGAGTTTTGACACAAAGCCTGCCTGGATGCCCCGAAGAATGGATGGAAATAGACTCACAGCAATTTTCATTTTTATGACATTTAGTACTTTGGGTATAAAGAGAAGACCTTGAAAGCTTAATAACAGATAAAAGAGGTCACATAGATAGGATGGAAAACCAGAATGAGATTTACTTCTTAAAAGCAATGGTAGATGCTAGAAAATCATGAGTAACGCTTTATAACTTGTGAGAAAAATGGCTTCCATCTTAGAATTTTATACCCAGCCATGTTATGACAAATGTGAAGATAAAACAATTTTTGACATGCAAATTCTCAAATTTTTTTACTCTCTATGAACCTTTCCTTGGGTCTCAGAAAATTACAAGAACATATGTTCTAGACAAAAAAACCAATAAAGAGGAAGACCTGCCATTCAAAATGGGGTATCCCACAGAGGACCCACTGAGTGATGGAAGGGAGCTCCCAGGGGGCCCCTGTGCAGATGGAAGGGAGCTACCAGGGGTCCCTGTGCAGATGAGACTTTCCGGTGGTTCCCCTGTGCACTAGACAGCAACCAGCGGGACTGGAGCAGAGAGCTCCAGGGAGAACTAATACAAGATGAAACTGGCAGGTTGTCTGATGGATCTGAACATATTGAAAGGGCATTTGTGCTTGTAATCTAAAGCTGAAAATGAACTACAAATAGGCATATGGAAAACTATGCAAATGAAAAAAAACCATACATTATTAACTTCAAAGAAAACAAAAGTCCTTGGATTAGAAAGAAAATGCAATACGTATCATCTGTGAGGTATGTTTACATAGTCACAATTACATAAATACTGAACATAAATTTAACCCAACACAGTGATAGAATTATGCTGGAAGGAGGATGGAGGTAATGTGTTTTGGGGTGGTGGTGGCAGAGGGCAGGAATCAGAGTGTAGGAGAGTGAAATACTCATTTTCTATGGGTAGAAGACAGTGGGTACAATTTAAAACTAAGAAATAAGGTTAGTGTGCTCTTTAGAAATATGGAGGCAAAGACGGCAAGAGACAAGAATGCATGGCATTTGCCTCTCAACTAGGGAACTAGAGAAATGAATCAGAGTGTGGAGTGTGACAGGGGATTGCTGCTTTCCATCACACATCTTGGGTTATCATCATTTGATATCATTTGGCTTAGAAAAATGAATTTATTTATATAATAGTCTGTTTTAAATGTTTACTTTTAAAAATTCAAAATCTATGTGTTTTAGGGTTTCTTCTCATCAGTTCTAAGGCTCTCTTCCACCTTTCCCTTAGCAAACATTTTTTTTTAAAACAGAGCATTTTTTTTTTTTTTTTGCGACAAGATCTCTCTCTGTCACCCAGATTGGAGTGCGGTAGCAGAATCATAACTTACTACAGCCTCTGCCTACTGGGCTCAAGTGATCCTCCCACCTGAGCCTCTCGAGTAGCTGGGACTACACGCATGTGCCACCACTCTTGGCTATTTTTTATAGAAATGGGGGTCTCACTATGCTGCCCTGCCTGGTCTTGAACTCTTGAGCTCAAGCAATTGGCTCACCTCGGCTTCCCAAAGTGCTGGGATTACAGGTGTGAGCCACTGTGCCCGGACTAACAGAACAATATTTAATACCACTTTAAATCAGTATGAACTATCTGAATTGAATGCTTTTTTATCTTATGCTTTTATCTTCATGCCTTTTTATCTTAATGCATGCTCACAAATCAGCAACGCTGAGGGAAAAATAAAACACTATGCCCATCAATTTAGTTTGTTGAGGAACCAAACAGGTTTATACCAGTAATGACATACTTAATTGCTATCAAATTGTAGCTTTAATGCCAGTCAAGACAAAGATCAAAAGTAAAAATACATTTAATACGTTAGTAATTAATCTTTGGGAGTCTTAAAATCTTTCTGGAAAAGCTACAGTTTTTCGTACTCCTGCCCTGAAGTGGGAGGATCACTTGAGCCCAGGAGGCAGAGGTTGTAGTTAAGTTGTGACTATGCTATTGCATTCCAGCCTGGGCTCCTCCCAGCTGCTGCCCCGGAGGCCACAGGCACAGCTACTGTGGGGTTCCTCATGCCTACTGTGCTCTCACACCCCTTTGCTTACTCACCGTTAAACAGCAACTAGTTCACATTTTTTAAAAATGTACATATATAACTGATTAAAAAGTAGGCCAAGGTGGGCAGATCATGAGGTTAGGAGATCGAGACCATCATGGCTAACACAGTAAAACCCCATCTCTACTAAAAATCCAAAACTTAGCCTGGCATGGTGGCACGTGTCTGCAGTCCCAGCTACTCAGGAAGCTGGAGGAGAGCAGAGCAGGCAGGGAGGGAGAGAAGAGAGGACAGGTGGGAAGGCCCCGATTCCACCTCCTGTGAGCCAGGCACTGTACTAGGCTGGGAAAGGAGAGCTGGCGTTAAATCCTTAGGTGGGAAGAAAAGGCAGGAAAGGGAAGAAGGTGAACATTTGTTGAGGACCTGCAATATTCTGGGCAATTCCACGTGATCTCATTGAATTATCACAGAGGATGCCAGCAGCCACGTTCTTGCCCTGTGGACAAACCTGGGCATGTGAACCCAACCCACAGACACCCAGAGGCATCTCTCTGAGTCTGGGAAGAGCAGGAGAGAGAGCGGCTCCTGGGAGCCCTGAGGCCCTGATTCTGACCTGAAGTCTCAGGGCTGCCCGACATCCTTGCTTCAATTTTTTATTTTGGCTGAAGCTGCCTCCAGCTCTGTTTCCATCTTTTGCAACATAAGAGTTCTGACTACACCCATCTCTAGCCTCTTTTTTCCCCTTTCACAATGGCTCGATTTTTTCATTTCAGAAACTGATTACGAACTTTGAATTTTTAATTTTTATTTTTTTGAGACAGGGTCTTGCTCAGTTACCCCAGCTGGAGTGCAGTGGTGCAATCATGACTCAGTGCAACCTCAAACTCCTGGGCTCAAGGGATCTTCCCATCTCAGACTCCTCAACAGCTAGGACTACAGCCACACCACCACACCGAGCTAACTTTTTTTTATTTTTAGTAGAGATAGAATCTCACTATGTTGCCCAGGCTGGTCTCGAACTCCTGGCCTGAAGTGATCCTCCCACCTTAGCCTCCCAAAGTGCTGAGATTATAGGCTTGAGCTACTGCACCGAGGCTTATAAACTTTTAAATGCCAATTTCCATGTAAAATAAACAAACAAATAAGTACACCTTCCTTAGGCATTTGGTCCCTTCATCCCCCTCTCCAAGCCAGGTCCCACCCACCATACCCCGCACACTTGGGAGACCTGTGCCTGCTTCTAGGTGCCCATTGGAGCCCCAGACCCATGGGAAAATCACTGCAGACAGTTGCTCATGGCAGATTCCATGTGATGGGCGAGGGGTCTCTGGGCTGAGCCTGCTAGAAAGGAAGTAGGAAAGGAAGATGTTGTTTAAAGAAATAGGTGACAAGTTCAGTGGAGAGAAGGCCCTGATGCCTGGACAGCCACTCCAGAGGCACACTTCTGAAGATGACTCAGTGGCCTTTGTGGATTCCAGGGGTGGGACTCGGGGGCATGCTCAAGATCTGGAAGAATTCTGGCCACGGAGAGTCCCCCTCCACTCCACAGTGTTTAGAATGAATGGGGACAAAGCGGCTCCACTGAACACCCATGAAACCTTAAGGCATTGCCTGCCCCGTGGGTTCCTCCTGGTCATGAATGAAAAGGAGGTTGGTGAGTAAACACCTTCCCTGAGGCCCTTTGGTCCTCTACCCCTGCCCAGGGGATGGATGAGCAGACACGAACAAAGGTGGGGCCTTCAGGAACGAGGAGAGAGTACAGGGAGAGAGGGGACTTTAGAGAGGGCTCTTTGATTGTGTGGGCAGGCTGGGCTTCCAGCTGCAGGAGGCAGCTTTACATGAGAAGGAGCCTCACCTGGGGATGTGGCACTTGCACTCAAGTCCCCTAAGCAGCCTCCACACCCTCTGCGTGCCCTGATGAATTCGCATAGTAATCTCTCCCATGTACCCTCCTGTGCCAGTGTGCAGAGAAGGGGTTCTGGCTCCATCCTGATTTGTTCCCTTAAGTTTCCTGGAGGCCCAGCAGGGCCTGGGTGCGGGGTGGGAGTCGGGGTAGGGGGAGCTGTCCTGTGCTTTCTCAGCCTTTCCCACTTCCCCAGTGTGCTGGACACATGAGATCACAGTCTAATGTCACCAGAGCAAGCGACCAGAGGACACTGACTTGTAGAACGATGCGGAAATGGAGACAGAAAGGTGAGCATCACTTTCAGAAAATGCATTGTGAAGGGCTGCAAATACATCACATGCTGAGAGAACTCAGAAGACGGGAGAGAGCCCCTGGAACTGGGAGGTGCGAGCAGAGCTGCACTTTGGGGAATAAGGGTTGGAATCAAAAGCAGCAGAATCTTTTGACGTAGAAGCCAGAGGCTGGGCATGGTGGGGAGTTCCAGGAAAAGGGGAGCAAGAGGTGTCGGGGAACAAGTGGCCTAGGGGAGGCAAGGCTGCTCGAGAGAAGGAAACAGGAAATGAGGTTAGAAGCCTGATCAGGCCTCTGGAAGAGGCCAGGAGTGCCTTCTCGATCCCACCCTACCTCCAGGGAGGTCCTCTCCAGAGCCGTCTGGGGGCTCGTTTGAACACAAACTTCGGCTACTGAGGCAGAAACCCGGGTGGGTCATGGACTCGATACTTTCACAGGCTCCGCAGGCGACTTTATGCCCAGGAGCGTCTGAGCACCACTCTCGCAAGAGTGGGAACACTGACTTTGGAGTTAATTTTGAATTCAAATCAGGAGTTCTCTCATTGCTTCACTTTGGCCACGCCTCTCTCCGTCTAGTAAAATGGGATGGAGAAACGAGACCCAACTTTCTGGGTGGTGGCGAGCATTAGAGTCGAAAATGTCTGCTCCCGGGGAGGTACCCTCATCCCAGCGCCCGCCCCCAACCCTTACCTGGATGAAGACCTGGAGCGCGGTGCGGCTCACCAGCACGGTGCACACACGAGAGGCGAGCTCCGGCTCCCCGCTCGCCGTCTCCAGCTCGTGCTTCTGCCCCATGATGACGGCCATCGGCAGGGCAAGGCCGAGCGAGACGACCCACAAGAGCGCCACCAGCCGCCGGGTCCGGCGCGGCGTCAGCAGGCTGCGGGCGCGCAGGGGCTGGCACACGGCCAGGCAGCGCTCGGCGCTCAGGCTGGCCACGCTCAGCACCGTGGCGTAGGCGCACAGCTCGCGCACGAAGTAGTAGCCGCGGCAGCCCAGGTCGCCGAAAACCCAGGGGTAGTGGAACCACACGAAACTGTAGAGCTCGACTGGCACGCCGACCAGCAGCAGCAGCAAGCCCGAGAGTGCCAGGCTGAGCACGTGGTATCGCAGGCGCCCCGCGCGCCCGGCCCGCGCCTTCAGCACCACGTGCACGGACAGCGCATTGCCCGCCGCGCCCAGCGCCCAGATGAGCGCGTAGAGCGCGGTGAACAGCACCTTGGCCCAGAGGCGCGTGTCTACGCCCAGCCGGGCGTCCAGACTCAGCCCCGGGTTGGGGCTGGGCTGCGGGGGCCGCGGGCTGCTGGTCTCCATCCCGCTCCCGCGGCCGGCACTCCCTCACTCTCACTGCCCGGAGTCTGGGCGAGCAGCCTGGTTAGCGAGCACCTCCTCTTCTCTGGGAACCTCCGGAACTGGGAGGACACGCCCCCGAAAGGGTGTCCCTGAGCCAGCGTGGGACCGCGAGTGCCAGCCCGTTAGCGTCAGTCACACGTTTCCCTTCAGTTCAACTCAGGGAAGCGGGTGCTGTTGGAAAGGGGGCTCCTTTGGGGGCTGATAGTCACGAGTTGGGCTGGACTCCACCACTTCCCAACTTTGTGATCTTGGGCAAGTTTTTTAACCTCTTTGAACCTGGTTTTGCAACCTTATTATCGACACTGCAGAATTTCTGGGAAGATGAAATGAGCGAATGTGTGTGGAAGTCCCTACCTGCAACGTAAATAGACATGGTGCTTTCGTCTTGCGCCTTGGCCCTTGGGTTGCTGTGTGTGTGTGCAGCAGTCCGGGAAAGGACTTGGGAAAGACTTTCCCAGCACTTCAGCATTTCGTAAATGTTACTGTTCTTGCTAAAGGGCTGTTCCAATGCCACCCTAAGAGCCCCAGGAAGTGCCCTTGTCACTGAGAATACATCTTCATGGTGCCATACTTTCCCAGTCCTTTGAGAATGACATCCTCATGGAACTAGGGGATGAAGTGAGAAGAGTTTTTAGCATGTTTTAAAACCTTTCACTTTTCTAAATTCATGCAGAACACCAGAAATTCAGAGCTGAAAATCCCAGAGGCCTTCTCATCTCATCCAAGAACCCCTGGCATTTACTAGGGGGCAGAATTGAAATTAGAACCCAGAGATCCTGACTTTTGTCTCCAGCAAAGTTGTTATGGCCAAGTGAAAATCAGTTTACTCTTCCATGTGGGCATATAATCATATTTACATTGAAATTGAGATTATGTAAATATACTTTTCCTCTGCACAATAAATTTATTGAAATTATAAGCATTTATTGAATGACAAGAATCACTGACAACCAGGGCTGGATTCGTTGGCATGTGACTGTGTTTTTGCACAGGGTCCCATGCTTGAAAGGGCCTTGTCTTGAGTCAAATGGCATCTGAGAATTCTTCATAATTTTTGAACAAGGAACTCTGTGATTTCATTTTGTATAGAGTCTTGCAAATTATGTAGCCAATTGTAACTACAAATGAGAACATCCCACAAGGAAAGTAAATTGAGCAGAAGCAAATAGACATGTATTTAATCTAATGTGTTTTGTAATTGAAGAACAAAGAAAGGAAGAGGGCTTTCTTTGTCAGGACGTGTGATTTTTAAAAATGGTTTACAACTCCTTCCTAAATGGTATTTTGAAGTTTTAATTTTATTTATTATTTATTTTGAGACAGAGTCTCACTCTGTTGCCCAGGCTGGAGTGCAGTGGCACAATTTCCATTCACTGCAACCTCTGCCTTGAGGGTTCAAGTGATTCTTGTGTCCCAGCCACTCGAGTAGCTGGGATTACAGGTGTGTACCACTATGACCGACTATTTTTTTGTTTTTTGTATTTTTAGTAGAGACAGGGTTTCACTATGTTGGCCAGGCTGGTCTCAAACTCCTGACCTTAAGCAATCCACCTGCCTCAGCCTCCCAAATGCTGGGATTACAGGTGTGAGCCACTGTGCCTGGCCCTGAAGTTTTAATTTTAAAAGAAAGGCCCGCTTAATTTCTTGTGATCTCAAGGAAATTAAGAGATGAATCAAGGCACTAAAACAACAGGAGGGATGATGAAATTGCCAGGCAGCAGAGAGGCTGTGGTGACGCACAGTGCTCATTTCTCCGAAATCATCTCTTAGAATAATTTCACAGCATTTCACAGCTTTAAAAGCTTTTAATGAGTTAATAAATTGCTCCAGATCTAACTGTTCTTTCTATACAGAAGTCTCAGTATATGGTGTGAAATCTGGAACAAAATTAAAAATGTTTGTCACAACCACTGCCCAGCTCTGTCCCCGTTCCAGCTTTGATTGTGTTCCGCCCAAAGACCCCTCACAGGAGAGAGGGAAGCCCATGTAAGCAGGCAGCAGAGAAGTTCATGCGCAATATACGACATTTGGGGTTGAGAAATTATTTCAGAATAAGTTCTTTAATATCAAGCAGTATTTGCCTTTCCTGTCTGCTTCCTCTTTTCTATTACTCTAAGTAATGGAGTATATTATGCTTCTCTCCTTTTGCTTTTGTGCCAGCAACTCAAAATTAAATGTCATATTTACTCTGGTATCCTAAGGGTTAACATTTATGCTTTTTTTTCTTCACATGCATAAATCACTTCTGCTGCATATTGAAGTACAATGGTCATTTCAAAGGAAAGTATTTGCACTTGTCTGAGTCACAAGATGAACTTGCTGCTTTTTCCTTGGAATACTATTTTTACTTGAAATTATGGCTGCCAAACTATGGTTATTTAGACCTGGGTATTTGGCAGATACTTTCTTTAAAATGAAGTAAGCCTGGCACTCAGGGGAAATAACAGAACATATTTCAGTAAATAAATTTATAAGATTTGAGCTTGCAAAAAAATTAGAATTTTGGACCATTGTATCTGCCATTAGGAACTTGAAAATTTCCCAAAATCCAAAGACTTTACTAATGATATCAATGGTGATATTAAAGAATGTGATTTTTGAATAATGAAATGTATCAACAGTTGGATGATCTGCATGGCTACCAGATGAACGAGTATTTTACAAATAACCAATCCATAAGGGTATAAAATTGTGCAGAAGTAAAAGATCCATTCAAAATGGAAAGTAGACCGATGGATTTTAATGTAACTGATAGTGAAAAATTCATCAGTATAGTTTAAGCTTCTATATTGTAACAACCTTTAAGAAGCCACTACTTGTCAAATTTGGTGTAATATCAAAGAAGAATATCCAAAATTATCTGAAAGATTATTCAATTATCCCCCCTCTTTTTCAATTATTTGTCTATGTGAAATTGACTTTTCTTCACATACAAGTTGACTTTTCCTTATATATGTCAACCAGCGCAAAATATTAGAACAGATTGAATGCAGTTTTCTTTAGTTTAGCGAGACATTAATGAGATTTGCAAATATGAAGCAAGGCTGGACGTGGTGGTTCACGCCTGTAATCCTAGCACTTTGGGAGGCCAACATGGGTGGATCACAAGTCAGGAGTTTGAGACCAGCCAGGCCAACATGGTGAAACCCCATCTCTACTAAAAAATACAAAAGTTAGCCGGATGTCGTGGTGGGTGCCTGTAATCCCAGCTACTTGGGAGGCCGAGGCAGGAGAATCACTTGAACCCAGGAGGTGGAGATTGCAGTGAGCTGAGATCGTGCTGTTGCATTCTAGCCTGGGCGATAGAGGGAGACACCATCCCTCCACCACTCCCCCCCCCACCAAAAAAAAGAAGCAATACAATGCTATTTTTTTTTAACTTGGAAAGATGGTTATTTTTAATAAAAATGGGTTGTTAACACATAATGGGTTTATTATGTTTTAAAGAATTAAAAATTATATTTAAATTTTTTCTGTTTTAATTCTTAAAAGTAAAACATTTTTGTCTCAGGATGCTTTTACACTCTTAAAAATGACTGAGGACCTAAAAGAACTTTTGTTTATGGGGGTTATATCTACCAATATTTAAAGTGTTAAAAGTAAAGCTAAAAACTGAAACTAAAAATTTGAAAACTGTGAGATTAAACTTAAGTTTTCACATCAAGTTTAAGGATTCCATATGGATAAATGTTAAACAAATTTTTTGAACCAAATAACGAGTACCAATACATTCTTAACTTTTTAATGGGTGTATTAGTTTGTTTTCTTGCTGCTGATAAAGACATATCTGAGACTGGGTAATTTACAAAGAAAAGAGGTTTAATGGACTCACAGTTCCACATGGCTTGGGAGACCTCACAATCGTGGTGGAAGAGGCTTACATGGCAGCAGACAAGAGAGAATGAGAGCCAAGAGAAAGGGGAAACCCCTTATAAAACTATCCGATCTCTTGAGACTTATTCACTACCATGAGAACAGTATGGGAGAAACCACCCCCATGATTCAATTATCTCCCAACAGGTCCCTCCCACAACACATGGGAATTACAGGAGCTATAATTCAAGATGAGATGTGGATGAAGAAACAGCCAAACTATGTCAGTGGGTTTCATGTAGCTCAATAAGGCCTATAGGGAAAAGGTAGGTTTCTGCTTCTCTTTGGAAGAATTCTCCAAGTGCTTAGCCTCCCAAGCTCTCAGTCGGGATGATACTGGGTTTGCAGTCAGAAGAGGCACGGACAAGTCTTGGCTCTGTTGTAATCCCAGTACTTTGGCAGCCTGAGCTAGGTGGATCACCTGAGGTCAGGAGTTCAAGACCAGGCTGGCCTATATGGTAAAACCCTGTCTTTACTAAAAAATACAAAAATTAGCCGGGCATGGTGACGCACGTCTGTTATCCCAGCTACTCAGGAGGCTGAGGCACAAGAATCGCTTGAACCTAGGAGGCGGAGGTTTTGGTGAGCCAAGATCACATCGCTGCACTCCAGCCTGGGTGACAGAGAGAGACTCTGTCTCAAAAAAAAAAAAAAAAAAAAAAAAAAAAAAAAAAAAAAAAAAAAAAAAAAAAAAAATCACAGGGACTGAAGCTCCTTGGCTGTTACTTCAGGGAGTTACACCTTTAACGCCTACACGGGAGGAGAACACAAAGATAAAGGGGATAGTCTCTGTTCTTATGTGCGGCACTGTTGGGGGTGGCTCCGTTTTCCAGAAGGGAGCATCAAAGACAAGACAGGTATTGACATCTTCTCAGGGCAGCTCTAGGTAAGCATTCTCTATCATGTAGAAAGAGCAGAATTTTCTTTGTATCTTCTGCAAGTGGGCCTCTCCAGCCAGGTCAGGGGAGGACTGGAAAACGCAGTGAATGTGAAAGTGAAGGAATTCAGCCCTGGTCCCCTAAGCAGGCATGTGCAGAAGGCTGAGAATTTCTTCCTTCACTAGGGGATCAGTGCACAATGACTGCCGTGCTCCCTGTTTGTAAATCTCATTCATGGTCACAGGAACTTGAAACCCTTCATAGAGAGTATATCCACACACAGATGCTGTGGCCTGGCTCTTGCTTCCACAATACTCATCAGAGCCTAACGTTGCCTCTGAATAAGAATAAAACATCATTTGTGTTACACTGAT